TGAACGTAAATGAGGAAAACATACGAAAATCATTTCCTTCGATATCGTCCCTCTCGTGATGAAAATCGAAAATATGCTGCAATCATTTAACCTTCTTACTGTATCTGACGCAATTTCGTTTGCAATGCACGAGAACGACGCATAAATATCCGAGTCAAGGCGATTTATATAGCAACGAGAAAATTCATTGAATTTGGCTGCATTTAGTTGTTCCATTTCATTCCAGCCGAACTGCGCGCACTATTTTGATTGCTTGATATTTTGATCAGTGGAAAAAAGTTCATCACATTTTTACACTGAATATTGGATGTGACGACTGACAGAATAATGTGTTTGTCGCATTCACCTTGATGATGGTTTTTCGTGTATGCCTCATAAAATTTCAATGATATATTGCTGTTGTTTTTATACGATTGTGAAACGTATCTAAATACTAGCTCATCAAAAAACTTGTCACTCTCACATATGAATAGCACACGCGGCAGAATCCGTTTTCAATTAATTTCACTTGGTGCTTACAAAAAAAATAATGAAATATATATCTGCGCGATTCATCCCCTGCTAACAACTGCAATTTGCATGAATAAATGATATCGATATGTTTTCCTCATTTACGTTCATAATTTGGCCATCAACAACCATTCGCATCTTCGAAACGATATGCACGAACTGAAATATTCTGCTTTTAGGATTTTTACGGTTTGTTTCAGTAATGTGAACTGTGACTTTGCAGTATTACGGTGACTTTACAGGTGACCAATTCGCTGTTCGAAGTCAGTTCAATTTGTGTTCATTCGCCTAAATTGAAGATAAAAGTAACAATAAAAGCTGAATATCATCACAATCGTCTCAGTGAAAATGTTTCCTGGTGTTCAGCGTTGCACATTCATAAACCTGTAGTTGAACTAGTCTTATGCATCGTATATTGTAAATATACACACACAGACACACATAAATTTCTACATTCGTTTACGTTTTATGTTCGTCGTTACTTTAATAGAATGGATCTGAGGTTCAAAGCAATACCAATGAAATTAGGTTTTTATAAATGGCCTTTTACTATGTTCTATTGTACAATGTCAATAGAATTAAACCAATCGTCTAATTAAATCAGTGCACCTGAATGATTTTATGTTATGATGTGAAGTGTGATACTCTGACTGTGAAGAAAATTTAAATTAGTTACAAATCGGTGAGCTGTTCGATTCGACGGATAAACCAGTTTCCTTTTTGATCGCTAGAATCTCAGCAAAGTAAATAAAGCGTAAAATACGGTTTATTGGCAAAACAAAAAGTAGTAGCAGGAAGTGGTAAATGCTTGTTTGGCTGAGGTTCCATAACACATAGATGATGAAATTGAGAAAGTATAGACGAGACGAAATGTGGAGGTATTGAACTATGAAACTATCATCATAACTATGAATTTGTTGGGTATTATGTGGCTTTGGTTGCATTCCATCAATGGATAATCACTGGTTTTGCGATGCTCGGATATCTGAGTGTCAACCTCTGGAATGTTATCATTTATGGCATGCAAACGTCACACTTCTTGGTTTACAGCATAACGAAGCGTTATTTGCGTCAATTGTGAATGTGAAAAGCGCAGAAAAGTTTTTCGCTGTACCATTGGACTAATATCCCATTGATCAAACGCTTTTAATTGATCAAACGAATTAATTACAACTTCTCTGAACGGCATAATTGCATAACGTAATTGCAGGTGAACAATTGCCGAGTTGTTGTTGTTGTTGTTATTGTACTCTTGCGAAGTTATTACTGACTATAATATCAAAGGAACGATTTGTTTCAATATGTATCAATGACACTAACATAATAATATTATACAATGAATATAAACTTGTAATGGAAAGATGCAATTGAACGTTCGTGAACAGTGATAAAATCAGTGAATGTCCTTGTCGCAAGAGACTGGCTCGTTCATCGCCTTCTTCTCCGTATAGTAGTTCTCCTTTATTATTACCTTCACGTTTCAACACCCAAAAATATCACATCAATCCCATCAACTCAAAACCAACCCACTAACGTCAACGCACATTCAACCCATCAATATACCGCAAAATAGATCCGATTTATTCATTCATTCATTCATTCCGTTACTGTCATCAATCTCATTCAACCACTTTGTCAAACTCATCGATCTGCACCACTAGAAACCTTTCGAGCTTCAGTGACGTGACCTCTGTCATTGGTTCACTGCAGTTATATTTTTTGCTGATCCGTATTCGTACGTATATTTGTCATTCCAGAATATATCTGTTCGAGGTAATATTTTCTAATGTATAATATCAAAATTCTCGAGATCGAACTGATCTAAAGTGCTATCAAGTTTGACTAAAACCGATTCAGCTAATAAGTGAAAATCAATCAAACTCATCAGAATTTAGCAACATTTGTATCATTTGCTACTCACGAAACATTTTCTGGTGATTAGGTTGAAATTTATCTAATTTCTCATTTGCTAATTTTGATAGATTTGAGTGATTAATGTTGAGCAACACTGCATTCGGAAATGTGCAAATATGATCAATGATTTGCTTCACTTTCAGAAATTGTCGCTAATCGTAAGTTCTCAATGTTGGTTATGTCCACTTTCAGAGAACGTAAACGTGCTGAACGATGAGCAGTTGGTTGACGCGACTGATATTTGCGATACTTTCGATTGCTCAGATCGTTAAGGCTGAGACGTGCTTGAGTCAGGCGCAGTTAGCTGGCATTGTGTTTGGTGCATCGCTGATCACTCTTTTATTGGCCATTCTCATTGCATTCGTACTCTGGAGATTCACACGTGCCAAACGAAAAGGTTTGCTTTTGCTCAGAAAACTTCACTTACGGACTGATGCATCGTTCTCATTCTTTCCAGTATTTCTGTTCCAAATTGTGCTGATTTCAAAGCCATCATGCTTCGTTCTATGTTCACACCCCGCAAACATGCATCTCGTGTTCCTCTCACTCGATTGATCATGATCAATCTGATCAACGCGGTCAACTTCCATTCGAAAGATCCGCAAACAAAGAATCATGACAAAAAGTTTGACAAATCAGCATAAAATGAAAATGAACGGATAAGAAACATGGTGAAATATCTTGAAAATTGTCAGTGATAACGATGGAATAGCCAGGTTGAATGACATTTGAATTGTTAACATTGTTTTGAACAATCTTTGTAGAACTGTGTCGGACGATCCGTCATAGTTTACATCGATATTTTCTTAGCAATGATGAATTCATCAATCTTGCTTGTGATCAATAAATCACAGATTGTTGGATCAAAGTTCTAAAATATTTGAGCGAATGAGCAATGAATTATTCCGATGCGTGTATCACTCAGTAAATTTCTTAACTGCTATTTTACGGCATTATCTTTTGATTAAGATTGCGAATTGCCAGAATAGGGAGCTATCGTTCAGCCGGATCATCTCCAAAAGGCTGTGATCAGGAGTTTTGTTATATAGCACCACGTGAAAACCTCTCAAAAATGTTCACAGCTCTTATATAATGTGATAAAATAACCAATAAAATAATTAGAAATGATCATTGTCGAATTATGAAAGATCATCAATCTTTCTGATCATTGTCTAAGAAATCCTATCCATCGTCGCTCTGAATTCAATCAAACATTTCGTCAGATATTGTGACATTGTGATATTTTGAAAGAAATGAACCTGTTTTGAAAAAGTTTTCGAAGTGTATTTCGCCCATTAATAATCCTCTTTAGATGAAAATTTGATTTGTTTTCCGTTTCACTTTCTTCCAGAATATGCATTCGTTATTTATGAGCATCCACGCCGTTCATTACCTACCCATTGTTTGTTTGCGCTGTGGAGATTTTGTTAAACCTGTTTTTACTGCACTTCTTCTGCGAAAATAAATCAGTTGATAACCATTCAGTTATCCGATTAGACTGAACCATTTCGGAAAGTTGACAAGAAAGCAATAAGATTAGCACTCTGTAAGAGACAGATTTGTGCAATAAGTTACACTTGAAATTTTCATTAGAATCTCGTATTATCTCAGGAATTTTTCACGTGGTTTCTTACCGATTTTAACGGTGTCTATCAGATGCATTGCGTTCATCGAACGCCCACATTAATCTCATCAAGCGCAAGGGTCACCCGTCTTTGAAATCCTTCTGAAAAACGAAAGCGTGCAATCAACCTGCTTCATGTCTATTTATGCAAAGCCTCGAATCATTTGCAGTATCAAAATTTATCATAGATATGAAATTATGTACCATAATCGATCATTATTTACGCCCTGTGATTGGAAACATCGGATGGTGGAATCATCAAAAATCACAAAGTCATTCATTCATTCAAATCGCAAATCTAGGGCACCACTACTATTGTCAGAATCACCGCATAATAACATATTCTCAAATTTTTTTGCAATTAACGTTTACCTTTCAGGAGCCGTTCAGAATGGAGTGTAAGAAATTGAGGTCGACTTTTGAAAAATAGATAACTTATTTTGACTGTATCGATTGGTTGAATAGTATTGTTCGATTGGAATGCAAAATTTCATTACCACACAAAATTTTTGAAATTCCATTTTGACTAATCCAATTGCAAGCAATTGATAGGCGATTAGCGCTCAGAGGGAATGCGGATGAAATGCGGACAATGAATTTTGTATCTGCAAAATCTTTAGTTTACGCTACGTGCAATCCTTTGTTCGTATACTGTGCAAGTTCGTCTCCTTGTCTCATGATATCCAGATAGCGCATTGTCAAAAAAGTTGATCACCATTTACACGAATGTCTGCATGGATAAACGGAGCAGATCAAACGGAAAAAAAGTGACTGATTGTAAAACATATCTGTGATTTAGAAGTTCGACTGAAAATTTTATGTGATTTCGTTTAATTTTGTTTTTTTTTTGCTCACATTTGGAAGCTATCGAACATTTGAGAGAACGAACATTCTGGCTGAATCGATGATTTTAAAACGGAAATATGTCAGAATGGATGATCGGAAAACGTTTGATTGCCCGTTTTTATCAGCAATACAAACGTATAAACTTGAAATGAAACTTTCACATAACGATGAATAATCGTAGTGAGAAATTGCCATTTTGAACAGTTATGACATGTTTTAACAACGTTACTGCAGATGTATCATTTGCGTTATATTTGTTGTTTTTTTTATAAAAGTCATTTTCTTCACACATTCACTGCTCAACAAATTTCAGATGAGAGCATAATAATAGTTGAACAAGCACCAGAAAAAGCGGCTTATGAAAATGGAGCACTTGAAATGGAAAACAAGGCCACTGAGCCGATGCCTCGTCAGCTGATTGATAAGGTTCGAATACAATTTGATCATCATTCATAGCACAGCTCAACTGTGGGATATAACGCAGAGGAAACGTGCAAGAGCATAAAAATATACTAGTTTTAAGGAATTTCATCTAGAGTTGTTGCTTAACACAGACTAATCATGAAGGCTCTCATAGTGATTATTGCAATGTGATACGTTTCAATCGATCAGTACTGATTGCAAGCACGTAAATTTTTTGAAGACGGATATTTAATGATGTGCTAAAGGAATTCTCCTCTTCAGATGACCTCTTGCCATTCGTTAAGACAGAAGAATCGTCTGCAGAATATACAACGGTTACACAGTCAACGGTCGCGATCTTCTGAATCACTTGATAAGGTTCACACCCTCAAATCTGTTGTTAGTGTCAAAATGTCTCAGCGAATTCTTAGAGAGCGAAAATCTGGTAGCAGCGTCTCTAATAGTTTATTATAATTGATTATAGTGATGAGTTAATCAGCGATAAATTAATCGGATTACGATGATGATCAATTATCGTTGTATCACGAAGAGACACAACTATTGCGGTATTTCATTGCAATCACTCGTATAATGTCCTTGGCACGAGCAAATCTAATTAATTGTGTCACTATGAATGAAACAGATTACTCATGTACCATCTTTGATATTATAATTGCAAGTTGGGGTCGGTGAGGTCATTATTCTGAGCCGTAACTGCAGTGTCGCGTAGAAATTTTTCTATTACTAAACATTACGTTGAAATTACTACTCGAAAACAAAGGGAGAATTAACAAGCAAACTTGNTTCTTTTTGCGTTGTGCAATTACAAAGAAAACGTTATCGCAAAACGAATTTGATAGCTGACAGATCAACACTGCTTTGGTTGCATTCAATGCGAATGATTTGTTTGCAGCTGAAGGAACTGAAACGATTGGCGGCAGAGTTGCACGATATGCGTCCTCTAGGATTTAACATTCTACAATCGGATGGCTACATTTGTGTTGGCGGCATCCAGAAAAATGGACCAGCCGAGAAATCCGGCAATATGTTCCATGGTAAGACAATGCAAGAAACCATCAAAAATTTTCCACAAGTTTCCCGGCAATGGAATTTTGCTTACGCGCAAAGTTGTTTTGGAAAGAATTCGATTCGATCAGACTGCACTCGTACTTCACTTCACTGAAAAATGAATTCATCCACTTTGTGAAGAGTATTCAATGCATCACTTCATCACAACCATCTCGATTACCACATCGTAAACAATCTGAGTTGCAGGCGATCGAATAAAAGCGATTAATGTTTCTTTCGATGGAATTCTTCTTGAAGATGCAATCAGTCTGCTCAGCTGTGCTGCACCATATAAGGTAATTGATTGTATCGTTGATTATGGACACTTATCAGTGTAGAACACTCGGAGTTATCACATGATGCAGAGCATAATCTGCTGAAATTTCAGATGAAACTTGAGCTCGAAAGGACAATCGTGAAGCATGAAATGACGAATGATGAACCTGAAATATCGCAACCAGTTAAGAGCATACAGCACCAGCCATTCAGAAGCACTTCTCTCACGAATCTCACCGAAGAAGATTCCAGGTTCATTGTTTATCACAAGTAAAATTTTTGCCAGGTTCACCATATGTCACATTTTTTCAAGTAAGCAAAGGGAATTTTTGATTCCTTCGGCCAATATTCATGCATGTTTAGATGCTTGTATCGTCCGTCCTGGAAGGTTCCGTATGACTTTATTCATCAGTTTATCAAACCCTAAGTGATCATCGCAGTAGACTAAAAGCTTGGAGGTGAATTGGTGACAGAATCAGAAATCTGCTACGAAAATTTCAGCTTACCAGACGAGTTACAGCAAAAAGATACCTATTGATTATTTGAAAGTATGGATTGCGATTGCTATAGCCATCTCAAACATGAATAGATAATTAGATTATAAGTCAAATCATAGCCTGGCTCAGGCTCGGTNTTTTTTTTCTTCATTGCAGTATCGATCAGATTCGCAACCGAAGTTTCATGTCGAAACAAAAATATGCACTACCACGTGAGCGAAGGCATTCTGCTGCTCCCTCACCTACACTCACCACTCCAACAGAATCGTCGCGTGATTCTTACCCTGAATCATCGTCACCAACAGCGTCACTATGCGCTCAATCCTCATCAACCACTTTGCCGATTTCATCAATGTTTGATAAAGAATTGATCAGTGGTGCATCGAGTTTCGATAGCGGCTCGTCCAGCAGCGATCGTCGCAGCACAAGCTCCACTCCACCCGCTCTGCCCACCAGTCCTCCACCGAGTTTGCCTACCGTTCCACCACCTTCAGACGACGACGAAGAGATGACACTCAAGATTGTCACCCCACCACCCGCAGTACCTCCAAAACCGAAACCACCATCACCGCAAAAAGTTTCTCGACTCCCAATACCAAAATATTCCCCAAAAATGGTCATGAAAATTGAAGAGGTTCAACGCAATGGTATCGACGACTTTGTTGAGGTATTTTTCACATCGATCACTNTTTGACCGGTGAATGTCCACATTAGACGAAGAAAATTATTTGAACTGCATTCTAAGACAAAACTGATCAACTTCAGATGTTCATATGTGAGCCTCTCAAAAGCCTGACTGAATCATTTCAGGTATCACGTTTCTCGTTCGCCAAACCGACTTTAACCGTCAATCATGCTGGCGGCAATGCCAAAGTTGAGTTTTGCGAGCGTTTCGAACCAAAACGCAACTCAGTTTTAGCGGAGTTTAAAGAAAATCAGAATGCCGATAAAACTCGGCAGTTGAATGGCGAAAGGAATGGTGAATTATTGAAAACAATAAGACAGGATAAGTACGTGCTTGTTTACACAACTGCATGTTGTTTATTACTATAATATATCCTGAATCACATGAGAAAGCCAGTTGTTTTTACAACAGGAACTCAATGAGCCACACCTGGTCTTTCAAAATAAGAGTTTCCCTATAGCGCAGATCATTCGTCAACATTCATCAGTAATGTCGTGGATGGGAGTGAGTGGTGTCACATGAGCAAAGTTCCCACCGTAAAATTACAGATTGCGCGATTTTTCCGGATCATTGAGAAACTTCAGATGATATACATTTCCCTTAAACATTTTTATGAACTTTGTACGAGTCAAATGATCGTATCAATAGAACGTTTTAACGTCAGAATGATATGGCGTGTAATCAGTCGTTTCAGAGAGTTTGATTCGGTTACAAAGCCGCCGAGGATCGTCGGGATGATTGTTGAGAAATTTGAAGCCGAAGAAACACCAAAAATCGTTGAACGGAAGTTACCTCCTCTACCCGAAATGATCGATATTCCTGTTGTTGTGGTACGATATTTCACTTGATATACATTTACTTTTGTTTGTTTGAAATCATATTTTGAAACAATCGAATCTGAGTCTTACTCTCATATGTTTTCGTGTATTTTGTTGCATCATTTGCTTGCGATATTCCGGTTTATGTTTGATGCGAATTAGTTATGGTGCCACTGCGATGTATTTTCGTCAAGCTCATGAGTACTGGACGAGAATGTAGACCACATAACTTTGTTTATTTTAAGCTGCCCGAAGTGAAGAATGGTGCCGCTTTGTATCTTGAAAAGAAAGATGCACTGCGTAGAACAAGTATACCGCCACGAACTGATGGAAGGTCAGTCCAAAGCAATGATCCTGATAAACTATCGTGCTCAAAAGTTAATGGGGGCAAAATTATCGGTGATTGCTCTTGCGTTATCGGATGTGAAGCTTGTTCTCTTTAACTTGTTCACCATCCCTGACCTGCTATCAAATCATCATGAATTTTGTTTTTATTCCTTTAAGATTGCGGAAGAATTGTTTTGTTCATTGATTCGATTGTATTTTTATTGTGCCAACTATTCAGATATTCCACTTTCAGGGATGTGACCCTGGCGAAGGAACAACGAGATCGTTTGGATGCGAACCGATGCCTACTTGAACGACAGCAGGAAGAATTGAGGGCACTTGGTATAATACCATAGACATTCTGATGCCAATCATTTGCCTAATTCTCTATAAAACAGCTTTCTGGCTTCAGTTGTCTGAAACCCGAAGCGTTGCTGTATTGTACAAATAAATTACTCGAATTTTCTCATTTGATATCGTTTGTCAAATTGCATTGTGACGTTTAACATCATGACGGCAGTATTGATCTGAAACTAAATTAGATGAGCGAAAACTTGTTGCCATTGCATCAAGCAAATCTCTCGTGGTAGTAAACATACAGATGCACATACTTAAGGGTATCTATGAAACAGATTGACCACTTATGGCGTTTATCAACCCCGAATACGGATTTTCCATGAGCATTGCATCCTTCATGCTCTTCTGATTCAACTTTTATTCGTCCACGTTCAAATGATCAAATTTTGTATGGTAACAGAGCGTAATCGCTTGAACAGAATATTTACTTTTAGTGGGCAGAATCAATGTTACTTGGGGTGAACAAAATCGCCCGACAATACATATATCCTTCCGAAGCTAGAGAATACATTGGTGGGTAGAATGAGTCACGATTCTGTGCAAACGTGAGGATGCGGGAGAGTACTCAACTACGGTAAAGAGGATTTCAGAAAATGAATATTATGTGAAATGAACCAAACTGCCCGACAACTCGTATACTTTTTTGAAACTGGAAAATCTGTGTAATCTGATGGTGTAGAGAAAAACCATGTTACTGGGCAAACCTGAGAAGACCGAGGGTTTGAAGATGGTGACCCTCATAATACTGCGCTAATGCATGTATTGATCAATAGAGNTACACATTGATCAATAGTGATGCAATGAATTGAAACGAGCGCCGCCAAGCTGCTTAAGATAGGTTCAGAAAATCACCCGTATCTCCTCAAGTATGCAAAATCGCCCGACAACATATATACTTTTCTGAAAGTAGAGAATCTGGGTAATCTGACGATGTGGAGAAAGTAACACGTTACTGGGCAAACCTGAGGAAACTAATGGTTTGGAGATGGTGACCCTCATACTGTCGCGCCAATGTATGCATTGATCTCTCTATGACTACATAACCTTTTTGCAGAAGGTTCATCCATGAGCTTCTTCATCTATTTCTGCTTATGTTTCAGTTCCTCTACGTGGAATTATATCGTGTCGTCTCTATCACTATGATGACTCATTCATTCTTTTTACTAGTCGGAAGGTACGAGTGATGAACTTTAACTGAATAATGAATGAGGGCTTATGTCCCCGTTCTGGTGTTGAACGGGTGAACGAGGCCGCTCAAACGAGGCCATTCGAGTTTGTGGAATGGGGCAAAAATGTGTGATTTGTTTGCAATGTGAAGATGTTTAATGGATTGATGAACGATAGCATTAATCGCCGCGTTAATGTGAATTAAACAGATGTTTTTAAATGTTTTCCTATCGATTCACCCGTTCCAATTAAGCGAACAACAACCCCAACGCGTTGACAGTGACTCAAAACTCTACCAAAGTAACAATGACCACATCGGTCATTGAATCTGTGTTTGTTCGTTGATGAACTGCTCATGCAGGATATTTTAGCACACCTTAATAACCTCGAACCTGCCTTAGTCCTGTTTGGAAACATTGGTGCCCGAGATTTTTTTCATACAAAATTCAATTTCCTCTCTCACTGTTTTGACTCACCATAGTTCCACTTCGATAACTTTATAATCGAACATATTCAACTCAAAATTCCTTAACATTACAACTTCAACTTCATAAGAATGATCCATTTTTCGGAAAAAATTTTAAAGGTTAATTCACCAGGTTCGTGCTCGTTTTGATAGCTTTTATTCAATTCGTAAAGTTAGAATATCTGAAATACGTTAAACATGGATCGTATTTCTTGGTCCCTTAAAGCCATTTGCTGGCATGACAGAACGCTTCTTCCATCCTTCGAAATAGTGATGAATAGTGATGCAGGAATGCTGCTAAAGTAATTGATAAATGACTCATTTGAATCAAATTCTTGAGACTTTTTACACAACATATGCTATCAATGCTGATCAAACAAAATCCAGACAGATGAGCTGAAAACTGGATGAAAATTTTGGATTTTTTGGTACTGAACTCAAAGAAAAAACATTTCATCCAGCATTCAATTCACATTCGGACGTCGAAAAATCTTCCCGAATCGCCACCAAGTCATATATCACCTAAACACATCCGTGATGACGACTCCTTCAAATGTGTTGCTATGATGAAAAACAGCAAATCCGATATTTGATAATTGCTTGTAATTGATAGAATTTTTTTTTGCCTGCTTCCACACAATCCACTCTTAAATATTACGTAATTCGTCCACTAAATAAACGCCTACCGAACATCCATTAGTTGTCGATAGCAGCGCAAACCTGATTTATAATTTTCATTTGCGTTTGCAAAAAAAAGAACGATCCTTCGATCGCATCAATCTAAAACTCGCAACATAACATCTACAAATTCATCAATAAAGTATCAAAGGACGACGCTCAATCTGAAAATCACTGACCCATTGCATATGGTTGTAACTGATAAGCCAGGAAAGCACTTCGACCTGATCGGAACCGGAGTAGACTATTTACCATTTAGTGCTAAAAAGCAGAAAACTTTGCCTGAATCTCCGGCTTAAGTACCCTATGTACTTTGATTTTAAATGCCCTATGTGTTATTGTAAATGCACGCGGTGCCTGAAACATTCCCCATGGTTGAATTTCACTTATTTCAATCAGTCGTAAAAGCAATGCATGCCTATTGAATATAACAGTTGGAAGACTTGAATTTGACCATGCGAATGCATCTAATCATAGAATTTAAAAGATTTCTAAATCTGACCAAATATCAGATTCAAAAATTTCAAAAAGTTCAGTCAACAATAACAATTCTTCACGAGTATTAACCTTTCTCAATCAATAAATATCTCTTTTCGCACTTGAACGTAGTGAATATTACTTTACAGCGTAGGTGATTACACACCTTCGAGATTTTTAAAATTAATCATTCAATCAGTATTTTTGTTGAAAATATTTCTGTGCTTTGTTGTTGATTTGTTATTATATCACAGTGAGGTTGTAAGCGTAAATAACGCCACAAAAAGATTTGAATGTGGTCGAACGATACGAGAACGCTTAATTGAATGGGCAATGCGAAAAGTTAGAGCAAATCTTCTGAGTGGGAGAAAATGATTGAGATGAGTGTATCTCTAGATATTGTTGAGTGATCACTAGGCATGTTGGAGATGTATGAATAAACGAGAGGGTTGCTTTTATGTTTGTAGGTATAGAATAATGACATTCGTATTGTTATCTTTCTACATCTGCAGATATCCGATATCTCTTCACAGTTGCTTTAAGATCAGGCTCACTTCACTGCCTTCTTGTCGGTTCCTTATTTTCTTGTTGTTGTTGTTTTACTGGGCAAAAGGTGTGGGGGCGAAAGAGTACGAACTGTTGTAGTTAATTGGATCTGTAACGAGAGTTGGGAGGTTAGCTCGAGTGTACAGCTTGAACTGAAGACAGGATTTAGCTAGAAAGAGTCAGAGACGAAAGCAAAGACATTTCAACTGATTTCCTCTTCGATTTATTGTGGCTTAAAGCGCTCGATATTGAGACCGAGATTGAGAGTAACTGACATAAACATTCTGGTCGCGGCCGCCGTACATATAATATCTTCGTTGCATCACACCCTCTACTGTTCACGTTCATCTGACACAGCGCCCACAACCGACAACACCAGCAAGCAGCACCATCACCATGGCTAAACCAGGTGAATTTTTGGGTGACCGTATTTTTTGGATTTTTGCTTGTTTATCTGTTGACTTTCACTCATATAAATAATCTATTGTACGATCAGTGAATCTGTCGTGGATCACAAAAATTGTTTCGATCTGTAGTGTACGCGACAGTAGAGCACTGATGCAGCGTTCAAATTGTGATGGATGATGCTTTGCGAAACTCAGTCACAATCACTGAGAACGTTTTCGAGATTGATCATGAAAAAATTGACTCGAGCCGAGTATTCATAATGAACGCAATGTGAAATGAAAGCAATGAGCTGCATGATAAGACCCAAAGAACAGCTGATATGAGTGCCGAATGCAGTTTCCTTGTTTATGTCGATTTGGTCTCATATTTGGTTTCTTTGGTGCTTGAGAAGTATGAGTGCTTTAGCTGATGCTAAATGCGTATTGAATGACAACATGCATGTGCATTTATTTTCGTCAAGTCACTTAGAACTGTAACGTTCCATTCGTTATTTGAACGAGATTCGAAAAACATACGAAATGAAAAGCATCTACTTTTGGTTCGTCAATCCTTAATTGAACTTTCGGTTTCGAAAGCGACTATTCGAAAAATTTGATAATTCTCTGATTAAACTGGTCACTAACGATGAATAGAGATCACTGTATAATTGTAAACTTAATAGAATTATTGTGCACAAATAAAACATCGATTCGACTTTGCAAAAAGTATCTTAGCTGGAATTATATCTGAGGTTACTCAATATCTAAGAGAATAGTAGATAGGTTCATGAAACGAAAAATGATTGTTTCAGTCGTTACACTCAACTAAAACTATCATCCTCCTCCACTGAAAACTTTTTCATTCGTTCGTTCATATCACTCATCCTTCTTCGCCTATCTCTTTTTTTCAATTCCTCTCCTCAAGACACTGTTGCGATCAAGTGAGAGATGAACAAATCGCATTTGTAAGTAAGCACATCTTCATTATCTATTGTGACGGACACCCAGCTGTCTCTCCAAATCGTCATCAGTTTATTTGCTCAGTCGCTCGTCCTTCTAACTAAAAAGTTTATGACACTAAAATTTCATCTTCTGCAAAAGTATTTAATTTCTACTCACTTTTTTTTNGTGATATGTCTGTCTTACAGATTCATACACTGAAGAACTTCATCACCAGTTCATGAATTCAAAAAACCCCCTCATCTTATTCACATTTTAATCAACAATGAGATGAATATTTCAGTGAGTTCCTTACGCCTGCACTTCAGTATTTCCGTTGTTGTCATCAATTTGATTTATAGTTTCGGATGAAAGCAAATTTAAACCATATGCCAAAATTGTTAAGAGTGATGGAGTTAAGAAGGAAAATAGACTAGCGATGGCAGCGAATAGAAAAAAAAACGGAAGTCTCTAAACAATACGAAATTCAAATGAGATGAAAGTAACTTGAAGCGATCGGATAAGTGTAAGCAAACGGATGAGGTGTTGAAAAAAAAGAATGGGATTGCTCACTATTCATGAACAGCACATCTCTTTGTCATGCACGATTGTACTCATCAAACGGCGAAGGAAAATTCTGACTCTTAATGTTTAGTTGCTTTAAGTTCGGTTCAGTTGAGAGTGCAGTGCGAGAGTTATAAATCTGAAGTGACAGCAAATCATGGATATAAAATGAAATGTCACGAATCGTTCAGATTAACCAATCGAATGGGATAATTTCAGAGGAGAAGGTTGTTCACAGCAGTGCAGAAGAAGAGGAAGAGGAAGAAGAGGAGGAAGAGGAGGAGGAAGAAGATGATGAGCCAACTACAACCACGCAACGATCGGGTGGATTCAGAATGGTCACCACACCGGCGACAATCAGCCAAACAAAGCAGGCCATCTTGTCTGAGATCCGTGATCTCGGATCACACAGAGAAAGTTCGTTGTTTGCTATGATGTTTATCCAAACACTTGAGTATTGAGCTCAGAAATAGTATTCAACGCAGAATGATGCGTATGTTTCCGTTTTCGATTTGAATGAGAGAACAATTGCCAATCCTACTAAAACTGCTGCTTGTCATTGCTTGAAAAGATCTGTCAGTTCGCGATTTCAAAAATGTTGAAAATTTTCCCAGATTTGAACTGATTTGATTTTACTATTTGATTTACATAATCAATGTTTGATTGATGTCCTCGTTGGGTAAATATGACGGACCCGTGCTGAGTTAATAATGCGTTATTGATAATTGAATTGATCAACGAACTGTTTGATACAGCATCCGAAACGGTTGTGACTCATGTGGAAAAACGTACGCTGTCTCCAGAAGAACAACAACAAGTTGATGAACGTAAGAGGATGGTTGAGGAAGAGCACGTGATCAAAGCGCAAACTGCGGGTCTTGCACAGCAAATCGCAGCGCAGGCTGCCAAGAACCATGCAAAACAAGAACAGCAGCAAGAACAACAACAAGCAGTTCCAGCACAAACCCCCCAACACGAGCCTGAGGCTGGTGTTGTGACAGCGCAAGAGGATCAGCCTAAAGATTCGACGGCCGAGGAAATCGCCCGAAAAGAGCAGGAAGCTCGCGCTGAGGCCGAGAAAGAGAAACGAGAAGCTGAAGCACGTCAAGCGCAATTGCGTGCCCAACAAGAGGCACTCAAACGTGCACAACAAGCCCAACTAGAGGCACTTGAACGTGCCAAACAAGCTCAAGCTCAGGCTCAAAAGGAAGCCCAAGCGAAAGCTCAGGCTCAACAAGAGGCACTTGAACGAGCCAAACAAGCCCAGGCTCAGGCTCAAAAAGAAGCCCAAGCGAAAGCTCAAGCAGTAGCCGCGGCTCAACAGGCTGAAGCTGAAGCAAAGGCAGCTCAGCGAGAGGCGCAACTGAAGGCCCAACAAGAGGCGCAGCGACGTGCTCAAGAGGCTCAAGCGAAAGCTCAAGAAGAAGCGAGACGTAAAGCTGAACAGGCACGAGCTCTGCAAGAGCAACAACGCAAAGCACAACAGGAGGCAGCCCAAAAGGCGCAGCAACAAGCTCAAGCTGCGCAGAAGGTCTCTTCTCCGCCCCAAAAGCCTCAACAACCTGCACAAAAAGCCCCACCGGTTCAACAGCCTGAACCGGCTCAGAGAGCGCAGCCAGGATGGCGGAAAGGTCAACAACAACCTCAGGCGGCAGCTCCGGTCGCTCCGGTTGGAGCAGCAGGCAAAGCGCAACCCGTTGTACCACCCAAAACGGCTGCACCTAAAGTACCATCAAAGCCTCAGCCACCACAGGTTGCACCTAGGGCACAAGTCGGCGGCGCAACTCCGGCTGCAGGTATGCAGCATACAGGTAGACCATTAGCTCAAAAACAACAGAAAACGATGGAGCAACAGCAACAACAGACAAAAGCTCCAGTCGGAGGTGTGGCTGCGAGCAAGCCTTCAGCACCTCAAGGTGCAGTTCAAGCACCTGTTCGTTCAACACCAACCAGTGGTGCAGAGATTCGTGCCACGCGTAGTGGTGATTTGCAGCAATCTTATTTAAGCAGTATCGAGAAGCCTGCACAGCAATTACCAGCCGAAATGGTTCAACCGATCCGTGTTCTGGTGAGTCACCACTTCAACTCTAACTTTTATTTTATCGTTATAGAACTTAAAGCTCCATTGCGATTCCATCTGAAAATACGTCGCATTTTTCGTTGTTCTTGTCGAGCACTCACCTAATTCACTTCGCGTGGTGTCATCAAGTTAGAATCTCATTCGATTAGGACGTTCAGTCGTACTACTCTGCCGACTGATGTCACAGTTGATGCTCGCAGTTAATCAGTTGATCCACATTTATTGCTGATCATTCTGCTTCGATACACTCATTTTATTGCTCCACTTCAGTTCATGAGCTGTGCTCCCCAATCAGAAATTAATTCATAATTCATTAACAATTGACTCGGACTGACACAAGCGCTTGCTTCAGCTGAACAATTCTTTTCATGCGAATTCTTGATCCTTGGCGATTTCACGATTGATAATTTAGAAGTGGTATCGCATTTTGCTCATATAAAACGAAGCTATGTTGTTATGAAACTTTTATCTTGACTTGCTTTCGAAACACGTTTCGTTTCAGCTGTTCATTTTCTTGTTTTGATGAAAGAGAAGAAGTCTTTGAAAAATGATCTGCTTCACTTCTGTTATAACCGAAGTCAACATTTCATTAATAACACTGTTCATCAGAGGCAATAAATTATTGTCATTTTGAGTCCTTAACAGCAGCACAGTCTAACGGATGCTTTCTATGAATCAACGAAAACAGCTGTATATTTTTTGATCCATCCCCGTTTGATCCATAAAGCAGTTGCCGCAGATCAACACCTGATATTGCTCGAACGGTTCACATTGATGATATTATAAACAACATTTGATTTCGATGCACTTTCTGCACTATCATCAAAACAACTTGAAATTCCTAACAAACTAGCAGTGAAGGAGATAATTCCAGCAAGAAATGCTTATATGAAAAAAAACGAAGGCAAATGCAAGGCAACTTTATTATTCGATCACGCAATAGTGAAAGCCTGAGTCTCGAATAAATGCGACTTCTACATCGTGCCCTATTGTACCTCATTAAATTCCCATCAACGAAAAATGATTTAGATAAGTAGAATCAAAAAAACCTTTCAACTATTTAACCATTTTTATTGGGCTTAATGATGATGGCATCAACGGAATTCTTTGCAGGAGGACAGTTGCTGGAAGACTCAAACTCGCGTTCCGGTTTCAGAGATTCAAGCGCCTCAACCAGCTCGAATCGCTATTCCCGAATTACATGGTTCCGTTAATGTGCAGGTGAGCATTAGAATCAACTGTTGCTTCGGATGTGTGTCTGTGTGTGTGTGATAATCACGATATATTGAGATTTGAATTTCGCAATAGAAGTGATCGGTATTTTAGATTATAGTAGCTGAATGAACGAAACAATTCTATGATAGCAGCCGCTAGTGCTAGAGCACTTATCACACATCATGTTATTGAAGTAGTGTTAGCGTTGCAGGAAGAGAGAAAATTCTAAATCACTTTTCAAAGAGCGACAAAGTGGAAAATTGCTCTTTCTTGAGAGTGCACCTCAATAAAGTGCAATTTCTGAACACATTAAGCTATCATTTACCGTTCGCTTCACCCAGAACAACAACAATTAAAACATCATCACGGCAGTGTTTCGGCAGCTGCATTAATTCATTTCGTTTTAAAACGCCTCCATTCTCTCAAAAGCAAAATCACAGTAATTGTTCTTACTCATTCCTCTGAAGCCACTGAGATTTATTGTGCGATTACAAACGAAATATTCAGCCAACCGTAATTGTTCCAAAGCCTGCACAAACAACTCGCGTTGAATGGAATGAATTCCCACAAGAAGAGCAGAAAGAACTTGCTGAAGTACCAAAGGTTAGAGCACAAGAATGGAAACCATCGAATCAGGTCAGTGAGCACCTTCTTGAGGCATACCGTCGAGTGACATACTTTGATCTATTGTCATATCGTTTGTCTGGGGTGTGTCGTACCAGACAGATGGAAACATGTTCCACTCAGTTGAGTGGAAATCTTTCAGGGCGAAATTGTAGGCGCTGCACCAGTGAAGAACGTTTATCGACCAGGTCGAATGGGACGTATATGGCCTCCACCACAAGACGAGAATCAAGCTCCAGTGTTCGTTCACTTGAATTCTTTGAATTGAACTCCATCTAATGGTGTATTCAAACGCTAACACCAACTTATAACATTAATTTTTTTGGCATAAACTGCGTTCAAGGGAACGTTCCCATATTTTTCTCTCAAATAAAAGTGAATTTTTTTTCTTTTCAGACAAGAAATCCCTGCAACACAAGCCATTCAAGATACTGCTTGGATACATGAAGTTGGTCATGAACATTTTCGCTAGTCATTCAGTAAAATATCAAAGCAGGCGATACTCTACTTTCAAATCCTTTCCTCTCACAGTGCTCAAGTATTTTATGAACAATGACTGATGATAATATTCACAGGGCAAAGGTTCTGAAGAAACTCGAACTTGGGGTCGTGTACAACTCCCTCGAACTACACGAGTTTGGCCACCACCTGGGAAAGAAGTACAAACAACTGAGGTTGTAGGTTCGTTAGAAGGTTTGGGATTACTTTTCATTCACTTCTACTCGTCTTGAACGATGGGAAGAAGTTTTTCGAGAGATTTTGAGCAGTTGATGGAACGGTGCAGTCTTACAATTAGAGCCTTGGTTGATATATCTACGCGAACCATACCTCCGAAGTATGTACACCTCAACTGTTTCTCCCTCAGCACACATTTTTCAATTATAGATCACTTGTAATTGAATAGTTTATTTTTATATGCAAATGGGAATTTCCTACTTCATCGTTCGAATCCATGTCATCTAGCACACCAACAAATTCAATACCACTGTTTCAGTAGTATTTTCCAGTTCACGATTCTCAACAATTCATTCCAACAACGGTACTAGTTTCACTACCACATTAATTTCAGGTTCACGTCTAGGACCCGTTCAGTGGCCACCACCAGAATCTGAGGAGCAAATGCACCAGGAAGTCGAAGTGATACAGACTCGTCTACCGGTCAAACCGAATCAACGCCAGTGGCCACCACCACCACCTCAATATCAACGTATGCCTTTTATCAGCAACCCTTTCATTACCCATTATTCTCAACATCTTTTCGTATTTCCCTCTCATCGAAACCTTCTCACTACATTTTCACTGCAATAATCAACGAAGCTCAGTCACACTGCTCCTCAATTCAGTGCTAGTTTCTTAGCGGAAAAATGATTTAAAAAAAAACTGCAATCGCACTTCGCATTTCAACACTCAACACTTTCGCGAACCATTTACGTACATCAATGAAATACCAGTTCCTGTTCTGTCTCATAATAAACAGATAAACAGCGAAAGCAAAAAGTCGGCCAGCTGTTTTCTTTTCATAATTCCAACATGTGGTACGTTGATGTCCGATACCACATTTGATGGTATATGATGTTGTAAAGGTTATGTGCATACAAGAAAACACAGCTTTCAATCATCTTTTGAAAACATGAGTAAGCTGTCTGATTCTGAGTTATGAAAAATGCCAGCGAATACAAATCCAAAAAAAAATTTCCTGTGCAATCAGTTTCAATACATTATGTTAAATCAAACATCCAACATGATTCACATAAGTGTTGTATTGACTCTGCTCGCTTGTTATTGGTGAAAGTTTACGGTCTGTCAACCAGGCGTTTTCATATATCACCAGCTGATCTCCTGATCTCAGTGTTGTTGTCAAACATGATTCTTTTTACAGCATCGCAACCGATTCCGAAAATAACAACAATAACGCAACAGGTGACACTTCATTTGTTGTTGTCGTTTCTTAACAAATAATGCCATCTTCAAATAATTCCTAAGATATTTGTTTCCCCGTTTTTCATCATGTTATGCATTAATTCAGTTTAAAACGAGTCCTTGTAATCCCACCAGCTGTTTCTTGGCTTCAACTTGACACTTAAGCTAAGAGCATTCGTCATTTGTTGACGAGAAATCGACGTATTTTATCGGATTAACAGTCGAATTTCTGTATGTTATCCTTTTTGAGGTTCCCGCTGAGCCACAACAAAAGCAACAACAGAGTACGATTACGAAACGAGCGGTGAGAACGTAATGAAAACGCTGAAAAAAGAATACTAAAAAGGAAGATTTTTTTGTGATAAATAACTGAGAAAATGAATAAATAATTAAGTATGTGAGTGATATATTGAATTAACTAAATAATGTACGATAACGCGAATGAATGCTTCAGTTTCTTAAGGTTATATCGTTTTATTATCCACCATTTTTTTTAAACGAAAAATTGGACTTTTGTAATAAAACGGTTCATCATGCGTTGTTTTTTTCTTGATTCCAATTTGAACATTGATAAAAGTCCAACTCATCAAGCAGGTTGATCAAATATATCACATCTCAGCCGCATCGCACACCGCCGGAGCCAGGCAAATTAGAGCGAGATCACTTTAACCTCTTGAGTAAGACAAAGATTCACTTTCCATGGGTGAAACCTGCAAATTTCCATTCCCTGAATGTTTCTCATCGGGAATAATTGAGTGAAGGTGAGCACGTGCAGTGCCTGTGAATGTTCATCTGAAACGCTTTTGTGCTACGAGATGATTTGAATGTGAGGAAAGGCGATCACGATAATATGCAAATAGTGCAATGAAATAATGCTCGTCAATAAAGAATCATCATGCGTTTGAAACTGATTTGTTCATTTTAAATTTTTAACAGTTTGGGAAGCGGTCGGTCTGAGAACCAACCGCTCGGGTGGTGATCGACTGCATCGACGATTATTTTCTTCGCTTCATTGTCACCGTTGTTTTCTGGAGTATTTTCAAGTGAGCTCCTAATCGCACTAGATTGTCGCAGAACAGGAGCCAAAAATCCCAGAAAATGATCGGTTTTTCGAATTCTGAACTGTGGCTGTGGAACTTTTCTTGAGTATACATTTCAACTGGCCTGATGTAAATGTTGAATTCCAATATAAAAGCTCAGATATTGAACATTCATTGCAGACTGTTGATGGCTCAAGCAACTCCGAATATAAGAGTATGCCATGTTAATAAAAGTCAAAAACCGATTAGCGAGACAAATTTAGAGAGGATTCGCAGGCAGTTTCGAACGTTCAGTCACCAACCTCTGCAAACTCACCTAATCGGTAACACTGGCAAAGCAGATTTCTTCTCACCACATACTTCACGATAATACCTCTGCTGAGCTTAATACTCAAATTGATTTCAAACACTCAAATGCTCGATTGTCTTCGATATTTCCATCGAACAAAGACTCTGAATTCGAAGTTAAGCCAGGTGACTGAAGTAAAGTGAACTGATATGAGCCTTACGAAGCAATACAGATGAAGTGAAACTGCTTACAGGCCTCGAGCCAGTCAACCACAAAAATAATGAGAAACTAGACATCCCCAACGTTACAGCAATTCAACAACTGCATTCTAAACGAAAGAAGGTGACATAATTCTATTCAAACAAATTCCACACACTTCCTGCGATCTACTCCATTGATTTGTTCTCATTTCATCACTTGATTCAAGCAGAGTGAACGCGTACAGTAAAATGAATCCAGATTCAACAAATGCAACAGGAAATACAAAATACTGGACTATAAATCTTTGCATGAACGAAATTTTGACTTCATGAAATATGTTCGCAAATAAGTTGAAGCGTTTCAAGCAAAATTTTAAGACTCTATAAACTTCTTCGAACTTACTTCAGCCACAGCATGAAGATTCAACAGAAAGGTACGCTGACGAGAAAGAAATGAATTCTGTGAACGGTGACAACAACTCGCAAAAATCACGCCCTGCAACAGATATTGCACAGTTGAGAAAACGTTTTGCTGCAACGTCGAAGATGGTAACTGAATCTTTGATTGGATTCTGTTTCTTTTGAGTCAAGCGATCAGCACGCAAGATCAAAATGAGGTGAAGATCAGGCAATGAACCTTTTACATTTCATTACGACTAAAGACGTTACTGTTGAAATGAAAGTTCTTGCCCTAATAAAAATATCCATTCAGTAAGGGATTTTACCAGTAAATATTAAACTTATTTGCGCTGTATCTGCACCGATATTGGTATGCTATGAATGAAC